CCAGACAGTCCACATTTTTGCTCCCTCCCAGCTCCCTACCAGACATTGCACATTTTTGCTCCCTTCCAGCTCCCTACCAGACATTCCACATTTTTGCTCCTCCAAGCTCTGTGCCAGACAGTCCGCATTTTTTGCTGCCTCCCAGCTCCCTACCAGACAGTCTACATTTTTGCTCCTCCAAGCTCCCTACCAGACAGTCCGCATTTTTGCTCCTCCGAGCTCCCTGCCAGAAAGTCCATATTTTTGCACCCTCCCAGCTCCCTCCAAAAACGTGGACTGTTTATGTGTCCCCGAAGACTGGATTAAGAAACACTGCTCTACACCACAGAATGTCCTTCCTGACAACTAACTATCATTACTCATGTCTCAAGCCAATCAAAATTTGCTCATAAAAGATCATAAAATGCAGCATTACATATTTTAGCATGGAAGTATACACAAACACAAAACTAGTCAGCAAATTGTAAATATCAGTAGAGTTATTTCCTAGATATGAATATTATGTATTTATATAATTACAAAATCACATATTTAAAGATTACAAAATAAAAGTCCTTCTTGGAGTGTCTTTAAACAAGTCCTGAAGAGTGTCAAGTGGGACACTGGGATACTTCATCACACTCTCCTCCAGTACTTCCCATAAAAATTCAGCAACGCTTGAATCCGGTGACTGGGGAGGCCTTGGAAGGCACCTTATTTGAAACTACTGTTAAATTTGTTTAATAGTGAGGTCAGCTTGGAATATGGTAACATTATGAAGAGGGATCAGTGTATACACTTAGTTTGACCCTGTTTCTGTAAAAAGGTCCCAAGTACCATAACTGTTATATGCTCATGCAGAACCATCACTGGACCTAATGACCTCAAAAGATGGCTGCCCATACCAACAGACCCTATGGGCTGAAGGCACCATTTCTCCAAACTTAACCCCATAAGGATGAAGGAGAAATGGGATAGATTTTTTTCATTGCTTAGGGGCCCAGGATATGTGCTTCTTACAACAGGTTACACATGTTGGTCCATTGGCATTGGACTGAAATGGCATAAATGCCAGCTTTGTGTAGCTTGTGAGCTACAGTTCTGTGAAGGATGAGTGACAGAGGACGTTATTGCTGTAATTGTGAGCAATGCGGCTGAGACTCCGGCAGTGACTCTTTGACCTCTTTGGATCTCTGTCAATAGCTTCATGTTGCTTTGAAGGTGCTGATCATCAAACCTCTTTATCAGCTGACATCCCGGTAACCAGCAGTCAACCTAGTAAGACTGACTTTTGCAAAAGTCCAGTTTTATGTGTTGTGTCTGATATTCTGTCCTCCCCTGTGTAAATATGTTATTCATATTCAAAAAATAATTATGCTAATATGTTATATTAACATATTTGCAAAGATATGGATTCAAAGGGAATGGAAACAGTCCCTTTTTAATGTCCCTTGATCATCATTCCAAAAATGCTGAACATGTGCCCCATTATTGAATGTGAGAAAATCGAATATTTGGTGTCAGTCCTGAAGAGTATGCGTGACATTTCACATTAGCAGACAAGGAGGAAACGTGGTAAAAAAAGACCCATTTTGTTAGTTAAAAATTACATGAATTAAAACTGAGGTGATTTAAAATGTTCTTGCAGGAAACAATTAGTAAGGCAATAGATTCTGCAACACACTCCTGTCCTGTTACACCTGGGAATTCCCTAATGCATGATACCTGAATGCCAACTTAAAACTCTGTGCTTGAATGCAATGCAGTAATGTTAGAACACAGATGACAAGAGAAATACATAATTGGCTTACAGAACTGTACACAAACCAGGCTGATTACGACTTAGCTGTCTTCACCTCTAAGCATATAAAACCATTACTGAGAAAATGGCGGACGGAACAGGAAAAACTCACAAGTAATATAAAACATGAAAAAGTTAGATATGCTTTCGCCCTACCTGAGGTCCACATTGACAACTCTCTCTGTTTTCTGTCAGACAGTATCCAACAGTAAGTATTCCCAGAGAGAAAGGCGATGCCACTGCAATGCCTTGAGTGCAGCTGGAATGAAGATGGAGACTATACAGACCCTGGTGATCCCAGTCCTGGAAGTTAACTTGGAGGGCAACACACAGACCCGAACAGACGCAGACATGCGGAGTATCAACGCACACACCCACACAAACATACTGGGGGCGGGCGGGACAGACACATGTCCAGAGAGGGCTTAAACACTGGGGTCTTCCTCCTCTCTCTCCTTAACTCTCACCCACCAGGAAAAATAAGTAAGTGTGAAAGATTGCGGTAGTTAATTCTGCTTCCTCAGATGAGGAACTTAATATGTGAAGACAACTGCATGGGGGGAGGTGGGGGTTGAAATGTGGGAAGGATAAGAAAGGGTGATGGGCGACATGGAGAAGACCGTCGCTGCTGCTGAATGTGTCTGAGATCTGTAACTGTGATAGATGGTCTGAAGTTCCAGCACCGGCTCTTCAGATGAGGGGCAGATGATCCGAAATCAAGAGGGGGGGGAACCTCACTGACTGGCAGACGCCCCCCCCCCCTCAGACTCTGCTAATGACCTGTGAATGGCACAGCCTGCAAGGGTGGCCCCCAGATGACGCTAAACAGAACCGCAGGAAGCAGACTCTCAAGCGGTCAACCGTACACCATTTTGGGGGAGGGGGGTGACTCTAAACAAGCAAAAAATGAATTAATTGGTTTATAGACTGAAAGGTTATTAGACACTTGGGGAAAAGAATTATCAAAACCTGTACCGGTACAGCATTAATACTTCTAGAGTAGCTTTCAGCTTGCGGTCATAGCTATCCGGATCCTGTGTGTGCTGAGGATCATGACGAAATCATGCCCTGGCTTATTGATGGGCTTCCATAAATGATTCAGCCATATCAAGGAGTAAATATGATGTGATGTGTTTTCGGCTAAAGTGTCCTGTAAGCAACAGGATAATAAAAATTTAAACAGGAAAGCACTAAGCGTGGAGTAAGAGTGAGGCTGAAGGAGAGCCACAGGCAAGCGTGTGGATGCTGGGCTGAGGATCAGCAGGCTCTGCCGGCGGTCTGCTCCGTGGGCCTGCTGTCTGGGCTGTCAGCCGTCCACTACAGCATGCTACTGTCCATCCCGTAACTCCCATTGAGCTACACCAGGAAGCAAGCCTTGCTGGGAGCCTTCCCATCCCAAATCTGATGTACTGAAATATTCAGCATTGACTTGATTGAGCAGATAAACGCAGTTAAACTGATTCCCTCTGAGACGGGACTGCATTCATGATTTAATAAAGGCCATTTATTAAAGTATTTAATTCTTCATAAATATACTTTTTTTAGACTCTTGGATCCTGAGTTGAAGTTTCCTATAGGACTTTGGAAGCACACTTAAGTAGTGCAGAGCTTTACAGAGAATAGGCAAGAATTCAGTGTCGTCCCCCCCCCGACACCTATACCTACACACACACAAGGAAGTTTCAGGTTTTTCCACACTTTGGCCACATTTTGGTCCTCAAACGTGATCTATGCAAATCCGCAAACCCAGACACACACAGATACACACACACGCACACAGACACACACAGATACACACACGCACGCAGACACACACAGATACACACACGCACGCAGACACACACAGATACACACACGCACGCAGACACACACAGATACACACACGCACACAGACACACACAGATACACACACGCACACAGACACACACATAGACACACACGCACACAGACACACATAGATACACACACACACACAGATACGCACACAGACACACACACGCACACAGACACACACATACACACACAGACACATACACGCACACACACACACATACACACACACATACACACACAGACACATACACGCACACACACACACATACACACACACATACACAGACACACATAGATACACACACACACAGATACACACACACGCACACAGACACACACATACACACACACAGACACACATAGATACACACACACGCACACAGACACACACAGATACACACACACGCACACAGACACACACACACGCACACAGACACACACACACGCACCGATGACACACAAGTATGCGGGTGCACATGTACAAATCCATGTCAATCCATCAGCTTCACAGCCAAGCTGGCCCCCCAGCTGGGACAGGAGGGGAGGGAAGGAGTGACACTTCGGGGCAGTAAGCACATTTCCTGATCCGCAGGCTTTGGGTAGAGTTACAGAAAGCCTCAGAGTGTCTCCCTCCCTATGCCCTGTATAAAGTTCACACTATAAAATGGACTATCAACCTTTTATTTTGGTCTGGGCAGTACGGGAAAGTGTATTAAGTGCACATTAGCCATGTATTTATCGAGTGTGTTTATGTGCGTGACATGAACATCAAAGAACTGTTAGTTTAGCTTCCTTTAACTATGAAAAATAAAACCAATGAAAATGAATAGCACTCTGAATTGTAATTAACCTGAATATCAAGTGTCTAAAGTGAGCCACCCACTTTACGCAATGATTGAAACATATCAGTGTCTCTAGTGCTTTAGTATTTATTAGTGCACATTTCTATATTCAATCATAGTTCATTTTACATGTCAAATTTCTGAGCAGAACAAAGAATAATTTAATTACAGAAGAAGCAGTGGAACGACTGCAACTTGGAGGGGATAAATTTCAATTGATGTCATAAATTGATATCCATCCATTTTTCAAACCCCATGCCCTGCTTAGGAAATAGCATATTATTAGGCGATTAAATAATTAATTTGTTGTTATTACTTAAACGCACGTGTTAATGTGATGTAATTTCATTCTTGTAGTAAGACAAGAAATTGCTTTATTTTTACTTATAAAATATTTAAGGAGGTGTCTTTAGTCATATTTTACTGCCATCTACCGGTCTTTTGGAACAATAACAAAACAGCAGAATATATAAAACATTCATAAGCAATTAAGGAAAAAAATGTCCGTGAAGCTGCAAAAATACATTTTTTTGAGAAATGGGTATATAAAAAACAAAGTAAGTTAATTCATTATTATCTGTGATCATTTTTGCCTTCTTTGAGTCGTTATCTACAAATATTTCGCTAGTGTGAAACATATCACTGTGACTGTCGCGCACAAAATAATTAAAAAGACGTTTAACTTCAAGTACAATTGCGCTCCTGCACCAAATCCCGGAGATTATTAATATTCCATGCAGCACTTCATTAATTAATTCATCAGAGGCAGCTTGAACGCTCTGCGTGGAAAGTCCATGGGAGAAGCTGCTTTATGTGAAAAGTCCGCGTGAAAAGCTGGGCTATGCGGCAGATTCATGTGAGATGCCAGCCACCGGGGAAGCTGATCTGTGTGGAGAAGCTGCTCTATATGAAAGTGGCTCAGCTCACGGGCGCAATGCGCTGTCTGTCCTTCAGCTGCCTGCTCTTCTCCACTTTGCGCCGACATGCTGACAGCTCTATAACTGAAGTAAGCGCTTTAAATGACCTTGGGGATCCTTGTAGCCTGGAACGCAGCAAACGCATGTATCTGTCAAGCCATCTTCCACCTTTCAGATAATCATTTACAAGAAACAAATGGTCGACATTTATAGTTTGAGGTTTACCGTGTTTACGGATGTCCACCTATAGCTGTGTTATGGGAATACTAGCATTGAGATCCACTATGATTCTTTGCAAAAACTCTTACAGAATCAGAAAGGGATGATTTGCAAGAAACATCGGGAAATGGTCAAATGCACTACCTTACCGGAAGTGAATTTTTCCCATCTGAAGATTTGTACGTCAGCGCATGTGTTCTCAAATCTGTCGGTCATTTCCTTTTACCTGGTCAGGTAAAATTTTGTTCAAACCTTTTTTTGTTTCACTTGTGCATTTTTTCCTTTTTAATACACTGTGGGTTTTGATATTGGGCATCTTGGACTTAGGATTTTATCATTTTTGTGAACCACCAAATATGGAAAAAATAGTTTATGATCAGATTGCACTACTTAATGCTGACCAACAGATGGCAGTGCAACTGTTACTGTCCACTGCTGTGTCCCGGCCCAGAGAAGCCGTATTTCTCTGAGTTTTTGTTAATGGATTTGTATGTCCACACACACACACACACACACACACACACACACACACACACACGCACCTCCTTTGCTCAGATTTTATTTGTCCTACTCCTTTTCCCCATAGAAGCCCTTGACCCTAGACAGATGGCTTCAAGACCCCTCCCAACACCAGTTGTTGCCTTAGTTGCCTTAGTAACATCTGCCATGAACCAAAGTGCTGCCAGACAAACTGGGAAATCTGGCAGCGTGGAGGAATGAAGAGCTTTTATGGAGAGATGATGCAGGGTAAACTGGAGAGAAGAAATCCCCTTGGAAGGGGGTAGGAAGTCAGACTGCATGGACCAAGATTTGTCCTCATGATAGGGAGTTATCTACAGACAGAGGAGAAAGTGATGTTGTGTGATGTAGCATTTCTAGGGGATAATTTACTTAGGTAATTGTGTCCCCATAATTATGAAAATGCAATATCTCTTGCTGCTCTGTAGACAGCGAGTTGATTTATACAGCTGATTTATACAGTGAAGACCCATAATTCAAGCAACATTTAAATATGTAAGGTACTAATTAGTTTATTAGAGAATAACATGCAAAGAACATACAGAAAAAAATAAAACATTTCCATAGAAAAGTATATTTCTCACAAATATCATTAAACATTAATAATTAGGAGAAAACAGACTGAATGATTACAGAAAAGTTTTTCGTTCTTTCACCCAGTTTGGTGCTGCTATTCATTTTAGGCAGCAGAGAAAAGATTTAGAGAAGCAGAGATGAGTAACGGTGTGTGTGAGTCCAGGTTCTGTGCCGAGTGTGTCTGAGGAAGGATGTGTGAGATTAATGAGCCCACTGTGCATGCCAATCCCCCCCCCACCCCCCCGTCCTGGATTAATGTCCAGCGCTAAGCCTTGGAGACGGAGCTCTGATCGGCGTTTCAATTCTCCTTCATCAGAGTCAAGAAGAGCAAGTTAAAAGGGTGATGAAAAAAGGGGCCAAATGCTGCTTAGTGATTTAATGACAGCTGGTCTGTTCCAGCAGATGTAAACAACATCACCAGACTCATCGAACCGCCGATAAACAAACCTTGACAAAGCACCTCCAATTTCAGTGTGAGGCTACATATTGATTTGTTTTGGACTTAAGGAGCAGAGGCTTAGGTGTAAGAAACTTTGGAGTTCTTCCTGGGTTTTAAGGCACATCTGTAAAAACATATTTTTCAGTTCTGATCTGGGTTATTGAATGTAGTACCGAAATACTGAAGTGTACAGTAATATATTACACTTTGAAGTATATTTAAATGTATTTGTTTGGTAGATACTTTTATTCAAAGTGATGTAGAATTGAGAGAGCTGGCTCTGCCAATCCCTGGAGCCTTTAGGGTGGAAGGCCTTGGTCCATGGGCCTCTGGTGAAGTCACTCTGCTGACTCTAGGGTTTGAACCTGTGCCATTCGATTTACAGAAACAGAATCCTAACCCACTGACCTACACTCCACTCCGATTGCTGCATATGTGTAGAATATTATTATGCAGTGTATAACTGACACTGAACCCAAACCTGCACCTTGATTTTCTGGATGTTTGGGGTGAACTAAGATGGAAAAGTAGCTTAAGGCCTTGACCCCCCCCCCCCCAAAGACTACCTCATTCCCTCACCAATGGGCGGATGGTGTCCACCAGTCTCCTTTCATCGACGATCTTACAATGGTTGCTTGCTGCCCCTTGCTTGGCTGTTAGATAGTAGCTCAATCCATTACCCATCCATCAGAGTATGTCAGGTGGACAGGTGGACAGACAGACTCCGCCCACCAAACCTAATCACCTGCTGGCCCTCATCTGCTTCTCATATACTCAGCACCCATCTCTGCCTTCATCTAGTTGCTTTTCTTTCTCTCCTGTCCCTCTTATAGTGAGTCATATTCAAAGCCACTTTTAAATATACTGTGGTCATTTACACCTGCTCCCTCCTGTACGTGAAACTGGAGCTGTTATGACAGTCCACACAAATGCTTCACTGTACGTTTGTCCCAGGTTACAATCGCTACTAATGATCATCTCCTGCCACCAGGATAATAGATCTTTTTTCAAGGCTGTTCTTCACCACTGATGCCACGAATAAATATTAATGTGAAAGTAATTGTGCTCTAGTAGTGGAAACACGGTCAGCATGTAATCTCTCGCCCGCAGAAATGCGCACAAAGAAGTTACCAGCAGGGGAGCTGTGAAGGCTCGACTGACCTTTGAACCTGACCCCAGGATCCGCATGAGTCTAGACACGGCATCCGAAGCGGGCTTTGTGGCGGCCTGCTCAGACGACGTGCCGCCTTTTGTCGGAACTGCGTCTTTTCTTCCAGCCCTTCGCTCTCTTTCTCTCCCGTGCGGAAAGTGGCCGTGTGCTGGGTCTCATAACCCCACCCTTGCCCCCCCCCCCCAACTTTCCTTTTGTCCCTCCCATCTGTTTCTCCTTTGACGGCATTGTGCCTCCCCTGGGCCGGAGCACGTCCACAATGCGGTGCATGTGAGTAGGCGGGGCTTAAGTAAATGGAGGCGGGGCCGACATCTCATTAGGAACGCTTTAACCTCAAAGCGGCTTTCGGATCAGGGGGACCCCCAGCACCGGCGCAGCTCTGCGTATCTGTTCGGGTCGATGACGGCATCCCGGCTTTCTCCATGCATATGGCAACCATTTTTAATGCATGTCTCACCAATCAGCTTTGCTCCTCTTGGGTCCTTTATAATTTGTCATTACCGCCCCGTGCAGCACAGTGTGGGGCCAGATGTTAAATTCACGACATCTCTTCCTGCTGAACCTTCTGGTCGCGGTTTCCCTTCTCAGTGCCGTACCACCTGCTGATTAACGTCTTTTTCTGTGCCTTTACTTTCTTACATAACCTCTTTTTCCTTTTCATGCTCTTTACAGTTAAAGGTACAATATTCCTGAAGGTCGGCATTTATATCGTCATTTATTTTTTGCTAAATGTTGCTCATGGTTTACATGTATCTACAGCATTTGAATTGTGTAACGCGGTCATTAATGTGCTCTGAATTTTCTCTTGAATAACCTGTCCAGCAGTTTAAAAGCCCCCTTTGTTATTATTTACAAATTGTTTATTCTATTTTTTTTTACTTTTTTCTATATCCCACTGAAAAATAGTTACGGTCCTAATCAGAGGATGAGCTATAATTTCTCCCTCTGACAAAATGTCACCTTGAGCCCCCCTGCCCAACTAACATTGTATAATTTTTTAATTTTATGTATCCAGGGGCCCCTGTAAAGTGCTGGGCCCCCAGAATCTGCCCGGGTATCCGTGTCCCTCGGCCAGCCCTGGTTATGTCCTCCCGATAAAGCATAACCACTAACGTTCGAGGCATCTTTCTACACTTCCTGTAAGACCCTGTGACTTGCCTTTTGCCTCTCCGTTCCTTTCCAGCGACCCAGACCTCACACTCCTGTGTCACCTTCCGTCAGCTCGGTGGATTTGCTTTATCTAAATAAGTAAAACACAGGTTCGGGAAACAGCCTCCCAATGAATTATATTTGATGGCTCTCATGTTCTAAATTTGACTTTTATTTTGTTTAACAAAAATTAGCTGCATATCTCTAGAAACTGTGCAGAGGGCTTCTAGGTATGGGTCCAAAATATTCTGATAACCATTTAGCTGTAATTTGTAGAGGTAGTGCTGGCCGTTGGCCTGCATCCAGGACTTCCAGCTGGGATTGGTGCTCTGCCAGCCTGGAGACGATGGCGGCGTTGGGGAGAGCAGCGGTTGAGCTGTGGTTTGGAGGCGGCGTCCCGGACATGGCCAGTCTGACTGGGCGACCTGCTTCTCTCGTCGCAAACTCCACCGCCGTCTTGAACCTTCTCTTGCGTAGTTTAGTGTTCATGGTATGTCACACTTACCAATGGTGACCTGCTTGAATTTTTCTGTAACTGGCAGTTCTAAACTCGTTTCTCTACATTACCTCAGTAAGATATTGATAATCTGGTCAGAAGAGGGATCGGACAGGCGTCATGGGGGAAGTTCCTGGGGTCTCCCCTGCCTCTCCGGCCCCCTCTGTGGCCCTGGCCATCAGTCATGCACTTCTTTGGCCCTGCGCGTGTCCCCACTGTTCACACAGCTGCCCACCTCCCCTTACGAGCCACCCTGCCGAACCCGGGGTCAGAGGTCAAGAGAAAGAACAGGCTGCGTATATAATAGAGAACCAAGCTTTGCGAACCCCGTCCCTCCCCAGGGAGATGTTGGTGAGGCATGTCTGAGTGCAGCGGCACTATAAGTCTCCCCCCCACACCATTTTGCCTGCCAAAGGGGCTCTCAGAATAATCACACGCTCACTTCCAGTCTCCCCTGGTCTGGCTTTCACTCCTGGAAGTTCCATTCCATTTTCAGCACCCACTTGTTCCAGTTGAGAACTTCCAAGTTCATGTAGATCACAGGGTTGATTTTTTTTGTGCATTGGGCTCAGGAATCACAGCACATTGAAAAGAATTGAGATACGTGCTGCTATAAGTGACTGGTGATTGAAGAGCGAATTTTCAAAACTTACTTGTTCCATTATTTTGTTGTAATTGATATGAGACTGACAATGACCTAAAGTCTGGCTTCCTGGTCATGTGTTACTGTATTGGGAACCACAAGTAACTCAGTTGTCATATAGTCCAATGAAGAGCCTTCGTTAAATTTCCAAAACGCCAAAAGTTCCACAGAGATTTTTTCCAAAAATCTATCCCGTGGACTGAGTGAGTTTTGGCCATTTGCTCTGCGATTGGGTCATTGATGCCCGTAAACGAAAGTATGAATGTGTGAAGCTGAAATGTCCGCCGCTGCTGATCCATCTGCTCAACTCTGTCCTTAGAAAGCAGCAGCTGGGGTTGGGCAGAGACTGGGAGGACGGAAAAGTGTCACATTCACCTGCTCCCTGTCCCCATGTTCCCATCTCCTCCATTGTGCGCAGACAAAGTACTTGGGTCAATTTCTCACATCAGTGTAAGAAAGGTAGGTGAACCTTCCGAGTATCAGCTTGGCTGTAATGCCCACCCCATATTTATAACAGCTCAAGCTTTAATAATGAGGATTACAAGCAAAAACTAATCTCGGGATTTCATCATTTCTTGCTCTCTCAAAAGAGCTACGTGTGCACAATAATGCAATAATAGAAAAGAAAATAATATGAATGCAAAACATTTCATTCTTGTTAATAATCCTTCTATACATTTTGTATTTGAATTATTTATCTGGAAATCTAAAATCACTGAGATCACGGAATTGCAGGCTATAGTCAGACAGGAATGCAGGGTCAGAATTCAAAAACACCTTTATTTATACATTGCTTATTTATTTCAAAAACATTTTTATCTCAACTTGTCTCTTAAAAAACTCAATTTTCATACAAAAACACAGACAGTGTGACATTAAATTCGTCATTATCTTTGTGACGTTTTTATTACAAGCTCCTCATTTTCATACAGCGGAATGGAAGGACAGGGTCGTGGGAAAGTCTGATGTCTTTTTAATTGTGGATCTTTACGAATTTCTGTTTTCGGTTAGTAAGAAGTAGGACTGCATAGTTAACATAATTATTGCTCCAGCACAATACTTGATATGATATTTTGCTGTGAAATTAAGTTGTTTATTTTCACTACTCTAATGACACTTAAGACTTAATGGTTAATTTGATCACTGTGATGGAAAATGATGTGCTGTTTCTCCCAGAAGCCAGACGACCCTAAGAGCCTCCGGCAAATCTCTCTCTCTCTCAATCGAGGTCGTTCTCAGTTAATTATTACGTACGCCTTTGAAGGACTTTATCAGTCACGCGTTCTCTAAGGTTCCCATTCCTTCCTCTGACTCTGTCACCCTAAACTCCTTTAAGCAGCTTAGGGATTGGAATACTGGGGCTGCACAAAGCGGGCGGCTGAGTCTCTGTCACTGGTCCTCTGTGTGTTTGGCATCTTCATTCCCTTTATCAGCCGGAAAAGGACCAGAGGCAAACATGCTGCTTCATAAGTATACGCCAAGAACGTATCCATGGAAACAGCCCAAACAATATAAATACGAGGAAAAGTAAGATGCAGAATTCGACAAAAAACAGAATCAATTCATATAAGCTAAATTATCTTGCATTTGCCAGCACAACAACGCAAAGACACAAAAACTGAAACCATTCTCATTCAGAAATAAAGCTTTTACAATCTGTTGAAATAAATATTAAATAATGGTATAAACGTTGTTTTCTTTGTTTCTGCTCCTGCTGAGGCTTGACATTTGCACAGGAGTCTGGTGTGACCTTTTATTCTGTAGATATCTATTAAGATCATTTCACTTCATTTCACTTGACCTCCTAATGCCTAAAATACCGCTTTCATCTAAAAAAATGACTTAAATGTAACAATAACAATAAGGGTGGTAGAAAATCAGCCCTGGTGAGTTTATTCATATCAGTCTCTTCATGCTCTGCTCCTGGGCTCCCCTCAATCATCGAAAACAGTTTGCATCTGTGGTGTGACGGCGTGGGGCGAGCCGTAGGGGTCAAAGGGCACGTCCAGCGTCAGCTCGAAGCATGGCGTCTGATAGGCCGCCTGGTCCCGAACCGCGGCTGCACTCGGCAGAAAGGCAGGCTGGGAGGGCTGCCGGGCCAGGTAGCGGGCAGCATGGGACGGATGCAGGCCACGGCTCCTCTCTGGATCCTGGGGGGACACCTCCTGTTTCAGGGAGAAGCTGCTGCAAATGCTGAGTGGCGGCGTGAGGGCTCCTTCGTAAGGGGGAGTGCTGCCAGAGTGTGCGTTTGGGGAGGGGCTCTGGTACACGGCACAGTTCAGGGGGTGGGGGGCTTCCATGGAGCCGTAGGGAGGGCTGGGCAGGCTTAAAGAGGGATAGCGGAAGGTTAGCGCTCGTGGCCTGGACTCTGCTAGCACAGTTAGCGCACGCTGGTCACCGCTAGGCCCCTCCGGCAGCACTGGCAGCTGACCCAGCTGCAGACAGCCGGCCACCAGGTTGCTAGTGGGCTGCGAGAGGCCCTTGCACAGCGTCTCCAGAAAGCTGTGGCTCCTGGTGGACTGGTCGCCCTCTAGCACCTCAGACAGGGCCCAGATGTAGTTGCGGGCCAGTCGCAGGGTCTCGATCTTGGACAGCTTTTGAGTCTTGGAGTAGCAGGGCATGACGCTGCGCAGGTTCTCCAGCGCGTCGTTCAGGCCGTGCATGCGCGATCGCTCCCGAGCGTTGGCTTTCACGCGACGCGTGCGTAACCTCTCCAGGCGCGCCTTGGTCATCTTCTTCCTTTTGGGTCCCCGTCTTTTCTGTGTCTTCTCTCCTTCCACCAGTCCACCCTCTTCCTCGTCCTCCCCATCCTCTTCCTCCAAATCGTCGCTCCCCAGCTCCTCCCCTGTTTTATCCCCAGACTCATACAGTCTCATCACTGGGATTGCATCTCCATCCTGGGAGCTCACGTCTTCATCCATCCATGCCAGAGAGCTCATGAGGTCTTTCACGTCTCCTGGGTCCCCATATGGCCTGGTCATCATTGTTCTGTTGGAACAAAACAAAGCAAGTTTTGAAAGAAGTCACTGCGGATAGTTCAGTGTCACCAGTAGTCGGTGGATGGCAACTTCAGCATGACCTTAGTGCTGAGATGTTTTCATTTGCATCTTCCAAATGGTGTGCTGATTGTATTACATTAACTGCATATTGAGGTTTAGCAGAATCTCAAATGCTTTACAGCAACGCACTGGAGGTCTCTGCTTAAGGCATATAGACATAAGATGCTGACAGATGGTTCTCATTATGTATATATAGCTTCATATGATTATTTTCTGAACACTAATAGGTAATTATGGCATACTTTTAAATGAATCACTTTAGCTGTTCTGTAATAGAGAGGTAGAGAGGCTCAATGGGTGGTTCTGTCACCTCACACTTTTGGGGTTGGGGGTTTGAACCCCATCCCCAATTTGTGTGTGTGTGTGACTGTGATCAGAAAACTAAAAATGTTTGGTTGCTTATGGTTAAGGTTAGGGCTAGAAATGAATGGATGGTGCCCTCAAAGGTGTGTGTGTGTGTGTGTGTGTGTGTGTGTGTGTGTGTGTGTGTGTGTGTGTGTGTG